GTAACTTGGGTCGTGTTGATTTCGTGGCTGAGTACGACTACGACCTCTTCATCAGACCTGACACTTGTAACCCACGATCAAGATTTTGGTTCAACTTCACTGTCGACAATGCTAAAGCAGACCAGGTATGTCTACCACACCTTCCTAAGTACCCAGGTATGACTGTCTACAAAACCGTCCTAAATACCCAGGTATAACTGTCTACAACACCTTCCTAACTCACTCTCTTTATCCCGATCCACAAAATCAGATTGATCACCAAATATCATGAATGTTGTTGCAACTGTTTCTGAGACTATAAGCAATTAATTTTATACTTCCTTTCACCCCATCCACCATCCGCCACCAAGGTAATGTGACTCGGAAAACACCCTCACCATCACTCATTCAACAGTTACTTACCATGAAGTACGTGACCATCTCGATTCAAATTCCGCTCGGAACAGCAACACATCCCCACTGGAGGCACTGTACTTCCCATTGGAGAGAGTGGGGAGAGGGACTTGTGCTTTCCTCTCCTTGACACTAGCACCTACAAAATACACGATAGTTCTTAATCTAGGTAGAAGTTGATAGTTCTTCTCGGTGAGTACCATCAGTGTGGAGTTCCAACTCTTCTGCTTTCTGTATATCCTATGTACTTCTACGTAGTCCAGTGTACTCCCACGTATCCCGATATACTCTCCTGTGTTCCCATGTACTCCCATATATTCACCATGTACTTCATGCACCTCCAAGACACGAATTCCAGCGAATCCTTTCCCCGACTCCCTTTATTAACATTACCTCGCTTACACTTCAGCACAACGTCAGATCCTCGAGCCCACTTGATCTTACTTATATATATAATATAATATATATATATATATATATATATATATATATATATATATATATATATATATATATATATATATATATATATATATATATATATATATATATAATCATAATTTGCCAAAATTATCCAGTGATCTGGAACCAGGTATAAAAATGTAAACTAGATTTTTAATACCGGGAATAAATACTGATCTAACATCACAGGCTATATTATATATACCATAATATGAAAGGATATTATTATAAATATATATCGTGCCGAATAGGTAAAACTGGTCAGTTAGCAAGAATTCCTTTACAGATAAGTCCTTTCTAAAATTTTCTCTCTCATACATTTAAAGATATATTTTGTTTTATTTATGTTAATATAAAAATTAATGATTTTGCACCAAAAGACCCTTAGGAAACTAACCTTATTATAAACAAGCGCAATTTAATTTAGCCTAATCCAACTAAATATATTTTATACAAGTTTACAATAATTTAATAAAGAAACACAATGAAATATTTTTTTCGTTAGATTAAGAATGATTTTTACGAAATTATTGCATACACAAATTTTCGCTTGCCTTATTCGGAAGTGCGTTGCTAATTAAGCCAAAATCGCAAGTTTTTCTTATTCAGCACGACATATATATATATATATATATATATATATATATATATATATATATATATATATATATATATATATATATATACATACACATACACACATATACCCCTCGAGAGTATATGATGTTAGTGAGGGACTTTTAGCCCAAGGAATTGAACTTGCCTTGCCCCCTTATATCGAAGCTGAATGCCTTCCATTCTCCCCGTCCCCGGGAACTATATGACCCCCTACGGGTTTAGTGCTTGCTTTCCTCGTGAATGCAATAATAATTTCACTTCTGAGCTGAAGGAACATACGCAGTCCAGAACACATATCATATAACGCTAATCAAAGAAAATTGTGGAAGCAATGACGTTAAGAACTTTTGGAAAGCCCACATAGCATGAATCACATCGCTACACTTTATATAAAAAAAACTACTCTCGTCTAAAAAAAAAAGACCAAAAATATATATGAAATACTGTCAAAGAATGAGTGAACACACAGTCAGCTGAGGACGACTTTTGATCTCAGAAAAATTGAAATTGGCTCCACAGACAGCCTGAGTGAGACAAAAAGTTAATGTGCCGGCAAATTGGAATTGTTGGAGAAAGCCTAGAGGGAGTGAGAGTAGCAGGAGGGAGGGAGGGAGGGAGGGAAGAGGAAATGGAGGATAAAGAAGTGGGACAAAGGAAATTTAGGACACGAAGGGAGGAGAGTATAATGAGAAGGGAGGAGAGGATAGCCAGGAATAAGGAAGGATAGGTGGAAGATAGATTGAAGGACAGATGAGGAATATTTACCTGGAGGTTTGCAAGTATAATTGAACCACGCATATTCTTCCACAATAATCTAGAATGTTGCAATTGTTGTAAACTCTAATGTTGCACTGATCCTGAAAACTAATATTCAGAAATCATTCCGGAAATCAGAAAAACCGTCCAGCAACCTAAAAATGTCCAGTAACCGTGAAAACTTTGGCTCCTTTTCCCAAAGCTGTTATGCAACACTTTGTTGCATCCATTGGTGTTTCACTTGCACGGCCTTGCTGTATTAGCCTTTAGTGTGTTGAAGAGGAAATTTAAAGCAACTGGGTGGAGCCGCTGGCCGATTGTGTTTAGGGAAGGACCCCCTTAATAACGCTGAGATTCCTTCATAAACCCACCATTAAAGACACTCAGAGCCAGACCCTGAGTGTGTCTGGGTCTGGCACCGAGTGTCTCAGAGTCTGGCCCAGAGACAAAAACAGCCATAGTTTATGAGTAACAAACAATAAATACAGCCATAGTTATGGTTTTGAAACAGTGTATGAACAGTCAGTATCACTCTTGTTCTGACCAACAAAGTAATAGTCTCTGGTTGTGACGAACAAATACCATATAAGACACTTTATGGAAGCAGAGTTGCGTGTGAAATGTGCCACTTTGAGCCGGACACTTACATTAAAGTGCCTCACTCTGGCATTACAGTATTGACTCGAGAACAGTTGCATGTACACCAAGTTTAATCACAGTCTTTAGGTATAAAAAAATTGGGCCGCGAAACGCGAGCAATGTAGTGAGAGTTTGACCTGAATTACTCCAGGACGCCATGCGATGCTTCTGTGTTTTGTGACACACACACACACACACACCCCACCCCACTTGGTATTACACTTATATGGGACCCCTAAACCCTCAGGGCCAGTCAATTCTTGTGGAAAGGGAGGTAACTAGGTTTGATGTAAAGGGAGGATAGTTGGAAATCCTCATCGGGATTATGGTACCTCATTTTTTAACGAGGTTAATAACTTCAACTTTTGAACGCTCTGTAAACTTACTAAGGATGTTTTCTCTTAACTTACTCTATTTTAGGTAAACTTTGGTTACATACACCTGCCAACGACGTGGATATTATATAAACGGTTAAGAAAACCAATAAGTTCTCTAAACCATTTATATAATATCTGTCAGACATAGCAACATCTTGGTATCCTGATACAAGGAATTCTTCAGTGCTTGTCTAACATATATACATGACCTACTTCTACTAGTGGATTTTTCCACCGGTAACTCCGTCTACAACTGCTGCGCCTCGTCTAAGTTCCTTCACACGTATGCTGTACTTTTACCAAAACTGGTGGACTAGACATCTCTAGGCCGAGGGACTGATTACCTCAAATTCCTTCTCGTCTTCCCAGTATTGGACTGATGAAGCCACTGGCTGGCTAAACGAATCCTCCACAAAGATACCCAAGTGTTGCACAAGTGTTTTCATTGATCAACACTGTGGATGAACACAGCTAATGAAGACGTTCGAATGCGCACGCTAATTTATGATGCACCGGACATGCATATCTTTTTTTTTCTTCTTCTTCTTCTTCTTCTTCTTGAAGTGTAAGATGTCTAGTGTATGCATGATAACTTTACTTAAATCTATGCTTTAAGGATTAAATTATTCCCAAGTGGTGGTGATGAAGAGGTGACATTCAGCCTTAATGACCCTTTTGTAGTTGATAGGCTTTAACCCCCCCCCCCCGTTAACAAACCTCTTGTTGTAACTGTTCCAGTGTTACAACTGCTGACAGTGACGTTACCTTCACTGTTACGGTGTTACAACTACTCACAGTGACGTTACCTTTTATTACAATAGAACAATGTATGATGGAGGTCTCAAGATGTAAGTACACAGTAACTACGTCCTGTGCTGGATAATTAGGAGACTCGTTGAGGGGTAACTATGCTGAAGGCTAATTTAAACTGATTTATTGGGGGAGGGGAGGGAGGGGAGTGAACATTTAAGCCAACCTCAGATCAATCCATCCTTCCTTCATTCCTTCCTTTCCTTCCACCTCAGATCCCCCCTTCCTACTCTCTCCCCCCCCCCTCTGTTTCTCACACACACGGTATATAATGTTCTGGGAACCACAAGAATCTTGCTTTCCAAAATCCATTGGTCAAAACTCTGGCGTGAGGTAACAGCAGCTGTTCATAACAGGTGAGCGCCAGAAATATCATCAGCGTGTCAACAAGGCAGAGTTGTGACGTGTCCCCAGAGCCTGCTGCTTGTCCTCGTTGCTGCCAGGGAGGCCAGGGGAAGGGAGGGAAGACACAAAGTAGGAATATGAAAGTGGGGAGAGGAAAGAGGGGATGGAGAGGGTGAGGCTTTTGTAAGTCTGATTTCTCCACACAGCGTCACACAATACACGCCACAACACAGCACAAATGCAACTCAAGTTTTTTCACTTATTCAGAGTAATAACATCATACCCAACATGCAACATTCACCAATCACAGTCCAGGTTCTGGGTGATGTCGTGCATTAGTGTTACCTAACACATAATTTATTCACCAGTCATAGAACATTCAGTGTTCAGAAACATTCAGAACATGGGTGTAACAGTAGTAGTATATCTTGACACTTACGAGTGTTCAGCACTGCTGGTCACTCAGGTACATTATGAGAGGAGATGCCAAGAATTGCTCGTCAATCAAGTACAGAGCGACAGTTCCCTAACATACCTCTCATACACTGACTTGAGCGAAACGTTTCTAAATATCTAAGAATCTCGGAGCAGCTCTCACTGCTCCTTGATTTACGAAAAAAAGAGTTAGGTGTATTGGGGTTATTATACTCTTAAAAAAATGCGTCAAACTTTTATAGGTCGTACAGTTGAATTGTGTCTGCTTATACGCGAACTATATTTACCTCCCAGTGTAAGTAACGACTGACGTTGTAAGACGTTGTTAAAGAGATGTATTGACCGGAGACGTGCGTGTACAACTGCGTTATATTTTAACGTCACGTCACAACGTTCCTGGAGCGAGTTTAGTGTCGTGTCAATTAGAGCGTCAGAGTCCACTCTTAGTGAGGTCTAGTGCCTCAGAGTGTTATAAATGATTTAAAACATCGACCGAGATTTATAAGGGTAACAATAACCAGGACTTGCCAACACCCTTCACTTACTGTCACGTTCACGAATAATGTGTGGCCGCTATACCATCCCAACACAAGTGTGGCCGCTATACCACCCCAACACAAGTGTGGCCGCTATACCACCCCAACACAAGTGTGGCCGCTATACCACCCCAACACAAGTGTGGTCACTATACCATCCCAACACAAGTGTGGCCGCTATACCATCCCAACACAAGTGTGGCCGCTATACCACCCCAACACAAGTGTGGCCGCTATACCACCCCAACACAAGTGTGGCCGCTATACCATCCCAACACAAGTGTGGTCACTATACCATCCCAACACAAGTGTGGTCACTATACCACCCCAACACAAGTGTGGTCACTATACCATCCCAACACAAGTGTGGCCACTATACCATCCCAACACAAGTGTGGCGCTATACCATCCCAACACAAGTGTGGCCGCTATACCATCCCAACACAAGTGTGGCGCTATACCACCCAACACAAGTGTGGTCACTATACCATCCCAACACAAGTGTGGTCCGCTATACCATCCCAACACAAGTGTGGCGCTATACCATCCCAACACAAGTGTGGTCACTATACCACCCCAACACAAGTGTGGCGCTATACCACCCCAACACAAGTGTGGTCACTATACCATCCCAACACAAGTGTGGCCGCTATACCATCCCCAACACAAGTGTGGCCGCTATACCATCCCAACACAAGTGTGGTCCTATACCACCCCAACACAAGTGTGGCCGCTATACCACCCAACACAAGTGTGGTCACTATACCATCCCAACACAAGTGTGGTCACTATACCATCCCAACACAAGTGTGGCCGCTATACCATCCCAACACAAGTGTGGTCACTATACCATCCCAACACAAGTGTGGTCACTATACCACCCCAACACAAGTGTGGTCACTATACCATCCCAACACAAGTGTGGCCCTATACCATCCCAACACAAGTGTGGTCACTATACCATCCCAACACAAGTGTGGCCACTATACCATCCCAACACAAGTGTGGCCACTATACCACCCCAACACAAGTGTGGCCACTATACCATCCCAACACAAGTGTGGCCACTATACCATCCCAACACAAGTGTGGCCACTATACCACCCCAACACAAGTGTGGCACTATACCATCCCAACACAAGTGTGGCCACTATACCATCCCAACACAAGTGTGGCCGCTATACCATCCCAACACAAGTGTGGTCACTATACCACCCCAACACAAGTGTGGTCACTATACCATCCCAACACAAGTGTGGCCACTATACCATCCCAACACAAGTGTGGTCACTATACCATCCCAACACAAGTGTGGCGCTATACCATCCCCAACACAAGTGTGGTCACTATACCATCCCAACACAAGTGTGGCGCTATACCATCCCAACACAAGTGTGGTCACTATACCACCCAACACAAGTGTGGTCACTATACCATCCCAACACAAGTGTGGTCACTATACCATCCCAACACAAGTGTGGCACTATACCATCCCAACACAAGTGTGGTCACTATACCATCCCAACACAAGTGTGGTCACTATACCATCCCAACACAAGTGTGGTCACTATACCATCCCAACACAAGTGTGGTCACTATACCATCCCAACACAAGTGTGGTTACTATACCATCCCAACACAAGTGTGGTCACTATACCATCCCAACACAAGTGTGGTCACTATACCATCCCAACACAAGTGTGGTCACTATACCATCCCAACACAAGTGTGGTCACTATACCATCCCAACACAAGTGTGGCCACTATACCACCCAACACAAGTGTGGTCCATATACCATCCCAACACAAGTGTGGTCACTATACCACCCAACACAAGTGTGGTCACTATACCACCCCAACACAAGTGTGGTCCACTATACCATCCCAACACAAGTGTGGTCACTATACCACCCAACACAAGTGTGGTCACTATACCATCCCCAACACAAGTGTGGTCACTATACCATCCCCAACACAAGTGTGGTCACTATACCATCCCAACACAAGTGTGGTCACTATACCACCCCAACACAAGTGTGGTCACTATACCATCCCAACACAAGTGTGGTCACTATACCATCCCAACACAAGTGTGGTCACTATACCATCCCAACACAAGTGTGGCCTATACCATCCCAACACAAGTGTGGTCACTATACCATCCCAACACAAGTGTGGCCGCTATACCATCCCAACACAAGTGTGGCCGCTATACCACCCAACACAAGTGTGGTCACTATACCATCCCAACACAAGTGTGGCCGCTATACCATCCCAACACAAGTGTGGTCACTATACCATCCCAACACAAGTGTGGTCACTATACCATCCCAACACAAGTGTGGTCACTATACCATCCCAACACAAGTGTGGCCGCTATACCACCCCAACACAAGTGTGGTCACTATACCACCCCAACACAAGTGTGGTCACTATACCATCCCAACACAAGTGTGGCCGCTATCACCATCCCACACACAAGTGTGGTCACTATACCATCCCAACACAAGTGTGGTCCCTATACCACCCCAACACAAGTGTGGTCACTATACCATCCCAACACAAGTGTGGTCCTATAACATCCCAACACAAGTGTGGTCACTATACCACCCAACACAAGTGTGGTCACTATACCATCCCAACACAAGTGTGGTCACTATACCATCCCAACACAAGTGTGGCCGCTATACCATCCCAACACAAGTGTGGTCACTATACCATCCCAACACAAGTGTGGTCACTATACCACCCCAACACAAGTGTGGTCACTATACCATCCCAACACAAGTGTGGTCACTATACCATCCCAACACAAGTGTGGTTACTATACCATCCCAACACAAGTGTGGTCACTATACCATCCCAACACAAGTGTGGTCACTATACCATCCCAACACAAGTGTGGTCACTATACCATCCCAACACAAGTGTGGTCACTATACCATCCCAACACAAGTGTGGCCGCTATACCATCCCAACACAAGTGTGGCCGCTATACCATCCCAACACAAGTGTGGTCACTATACCACCCCAACACAAGTGTGGTCACTATACCACCCCAACACAAGTGTGGTCACTATACCATCCCAACACAAGTGTGGTTACTATACCATCCCAACACAAGTGTGGTCACTATACCACCCCAACACAAGTGTGGTCACTATACCACCCCAACACAAGTGTGGTCACTATACCACCCCAACACAAGTGTGGTCACTATACCATCCCAACACAAGTGTGGTTACTATACCATCCCAACACAAGTGTGGTCACTATACCATCCCAACACAAGTGTGGTCACTATACCATCCCAACACAAGTGTGGTCACTATACCATCCCAACACAAGTGTGGTCACTATACCATCCCAACACAAGTGTGGCCGCTATACCATCCCAACACAATGTGGCCGCTTCCATCCCAACACAAGTGTGGTCACTATACCATCCCAACACAAGTGTGGCCGCTATACCATCCCAACACAAGTGTGGCCGCTATACCACCCCAACACAAGTGTGGTCACTATACCATCCCAACACAAGTGAGATCACTGTACCACCTGGACACAAGTGTGGTCACTATACCATCCCAACACAAGTGAGATCACTGTACCACCTGGACACAAGTGTGGTCACTATACCATCCCAACACAAGTGAGATCACTGTACCACCTGGACACAAGTGTGGTCACTATACCATCCCAACACAAGTGTGGTCACTATACCACCCTAACACAAGTGTGGTCACTATACCATCCCAACACAAGTGAGGTCACTATAACACCCCAACACAAGTGAGGTCACTATACCACCCTAACACAAGTGAGATCACTGTACCACCTGGACACAAGTGTGGTCAATATGCCACCTGGACACAAGTGTGGCCACTATACCACCTGGACACAAGTGTGGCCACTATGCCACCTGGACACAAGTGTGGCCACTATACCACCTGGACACAAGTGTGGCCACTATACCCCCCAGATACAGGGGATTTTCTTCATGTTTGTTTTCTTGATCTTAGGTCACGAAATTTGCTGTCCATATTTTGTATTCATTGTGCAAATTATTTTTCTGCTGGACAGTTGTGTCTGTGAGAGCCATGATCCCTGGTTGCTTTCCTCTTACGTTTTACTCCAGCGTCCTCATCAAAACTATTCTAACCTTCAATGAAAGCTACATAAGAAGTAACTGATCAAAGAAACAGTTTCATCGCGCCAGTTTCCCAGTGTGTGTACTCGCCTAATTGTGGCTGCAGGGGTAGAGTCATATCTCCTGGCCTCGACATTATGACAGGGAGTGTCCAGTACTGTTGTGTGGGGGCCTGTTGGATGTTCATATATATTAAGTAAATGTTAATGATAATTTCGTTAACAGCGTGCCATCTTTAACTTGGTCAACTTGCACAAGAGTCGTAACCTCTTCTGGGAAGGTCTCACCCCGCTGGTCCGTTCTACCTCCAGACCCAGATGGTGAGTACCTGCTGGTGTGAGTACCTGCTGGTATAGGTGAGTATATGATGGTGTAGGTGAGCACCTGCTGGTGTAGGGGGGTACCTGCTGGTGTGAGTACCTGCTGGTGTAGGGGGGTACCTGCTGGTGTGAGTACCTGCTGGTATAGGTGAGTACCTGATGGTGTAGGTGAGTATATGATAGTGTAGGTGAGTATATGATGGTGTAGGTGAGCACCTGCTGGTGTAGGTGAGTACCTGCTGGTGTGAGTACCTTCTGGTATAGGTGAGTACCTGATAATGTAGGTGAGCACCTGCTGGTGTAAGTAGCTGCTGGTTTATGCGAGTACCTGCTGGTGTTGGTGAGCACCTGCTGGTGTGAGTACCTTCTGGTATAGGTGAGTACCTGATAATGTAGGTGAGCACCTGCTGGTGTAAGTAGCTGCTGGTTTAGGCGAGTACCTGCTGGTGTTGGTGAGCACCTGCTGGTGTAGGTGGGTACCTGCTGGTGTAGGTGGGTACCTGCTGGTGTGAGTACCTGCTGGTATAGGCGAGTACCTGATAATGTAGGTGAGTATATGATGGTGTAGGTGAGCACCTGCTGGTGTAGGTGAGTACCTGCTGGTGTGAGTAGCTGCTGGTTTAGGCGAGTACCTGCTGGTGTTGGTGAGCACCTGCTGATGTAGGTGAGCACCTGCTGGTGTAGGTGAGCACCTGCTGGTATAGGTGAGCACCTGCTGGTGTAGGTGAGTACCTGCTGGTGTTGGTGAGCACCTGCTGGTGTCATGTAGGGGGGTAATGATTGAATTGGATATAAGTGGGGAATATGGGAGTAGGGGCTTATGTAGGCAGGGGAGAGGCAGGCGAGGTGGTAGGAGTGAGATGATTACTGGAGGTAGGTAGGTAATGACAGGTCAGTGGTGACCACCACGACACTCTCATTAACTCTACACTACTCCCTAACATATGCCTCGCCCACTCTTCACTCATATATAAACATAATAAAATATAAGAAATAGGAATAGCTAATAACGGGGACAGTGAATATTACTATTCTACTCAAACACAGTTTATTATTAAGTCCTTGTACAATAATATATTTGGGAACAGGAGTACGTCATTGGTTTAGATAAATGGGATGGTATGTATAAGCAGTGAGACATGGAACACAATCAACTTGACCAAAATGAATATAACTTACAATATAGCACAGAGGACAGTTCACTACAGGAACTAAGCCACAGGTCCCAAGACCTACACAGCACGAGTACTGCGCCAAGCCAGTACTCTGCCCAGTGTCTCCAACAGTCTCCTCCAGAGACTTCAGCAGCCTTCTCCCGAGCCCTGCACCCCAGCAGCAGCTCCGCTCGAATCTCCCTACTCAGCTCTTCCTTGGGCTTTTATGGTAGTCCAAGCACCCTCCACAACCACGTGTACGACCTGACGCCTAGGTCTGAGGCGTCAAGAACAAAAGACCTCAGACGTGGGCGTGGCTACAGACGTTTGCCAAGGCAAGGTGTGACCATATAATTGGTTAAATTAGGTCTCCCCAGAGACCTCACAAGCCCAGCTGGACTACATCACACTGGTGTAGGTGAGCACCTGCTGGTGTAGGTGAGTACCTGCTGGTGTGAGTAGCTGCTGGTGTAGGTGAGCGCCTGCTGGTGTTGGTGAGCGCCTGCTGGTGTTGGTGAGCACCTGCTGGTGTAGGTGAGCACCTGCTGGTGTAGGTGAGCACCTGCTGGTGTAGGTTAGCACCTGCTGGTGTAGGTGAGCACCTGCTGGTGTAGGTGAGCACCTGCTGGTGTTGGTGAGCACCTGCTGGTGTAGGTGAGCACCTGCTGGTGTAGGTGAGCACCTGCTGGTGTTGGTGAGCACCCGCTGGTGTTGGTGAGCACCCGCTGGTGTAGGTGAGCACCCGCTGGTGTAGGTGAGCACTCGCTGGTGTTGAGCACCCGCTGGTGTAGGTGAGCACCCGCTGGTGTAGGTGAGCACCTGCTGGTGTTGGTGAGCACCTGCTGATGTAGGTGAGCACCTGCTGGTGTAGGTGAGGCCTGCTGGTGTGGGCTGGGAGGGCACTGCTGGTGTGGTGAGCGCCGCTGGTGTGGTGAGCACCTGCTGGTGTAGGTGAGCACCTGGCTGGTGTGTGAGCATGCTGGTGAGGTGGCACTGCTGGTGTAGGTGAGACCTGCTGGTGCTGGTGAGCACTGCTGGTGTTGGTGGCCTGCTGGTGGTGAGCACTGCTGGGTGGCTGGGCTGGCTGGCTGGCTGGTGGCTGGCGCTGGTGGCTGCTGCTGGGCTGGCTGGCTGGCTGGCTGGCTGGCTGGCTGGCTGGCTGGCTGGCTGGCTGGCTGGCTGCGGTGGCTGGCTGGCTGGCTGGCTGGCTGGTGGGCTGGCTGGCTGGCTGGGCTGGCTGGCTGGCTGGCTGGCTGGCTGGCTGGCTGGCTGGCTGGCTGCTGGCTGGCTGGCTGGCTGGCTGGCTGGCTGGCTGGCTGGCTGGCTGGCTGGCTGCTGGCTGGCTGCTGGCTGGGCTGGCTGGCTGGCTGGCTGGCTGGCTGGCTGGCTGGCTGGCTGGCTGGGCTGGCTGGCTGGCTGGCTGTGCTGGCTGGCTGGCTGGCTGGCTGGCTGCGCTGGCTGGCTGGCTGGCTGGCTGCGTGCTGGCTGGCTGGCTGGCTGGGCTGGCTGGCTGGCTGGTGGCTGCTGGCTGCTGGCTGGCTGGCTGGCTGGCTGGCTGGCTGGCTGGCTGGCTGGCTGGCTGGCTGGCTGGCTGGCTGGCTGGCTGGCTGGCTGGCTGGCTGGGGCTGCTGGCTGGCTGGCTGGCTGGCTGGCTGGCTGGCTGGCTGGCTGGCTGGCTGGCTGGCTGGCTGGCTGGCTGGCTGGCTGGCTGGCTGGCTGGCTGGCTGCTGCTGCTGGCTGCTGGCTGGCTGGCTGGCTGGGCTGGCTGGCTGCTGCTGGCTGGCTGCTGGTGGCTGGGCTGGCTGGCTGGCTGGCTGGCTGCTGCTGGCTGGCTGGCTGGCTGGCTGGCTGGCTGGCTGGCTGGCTGGCTGGCTGGCTGGCTGGCTGGCTGGCTGGCTGGCTGGCTGGCAGGCAGGCAGGCAGGCAGGCAGGCATACGGAAAGTCTAATGCCATTAGACTATTAAAAAGATAAACAAAAATTTGGATAGTATAATTTAGCCAAAGACTGCGAGAAAAAGTTCAGTAATTGGAAGTTGTGTGAGTTCTGCAGGCATTAAAATTATGAAATTCTTCTCTGAGGAAAATCAGCAAGATCCTCGCCATATTCATGATGGGAGGGACGAATGATGAGGATATTAATTAGAAATCAATGAGAGGCCCATTGTTGTAACTACCATGTTATAAATAACGAGATGTAGCCACCTATAGTATATTGTGTATAAACATGGTCTTTGCTGTTGTGAACGTGTGTGAATGTGAATCCTGGTGTTATGTACGTGTGTGTGAACTTAAATCCAGGTGTTGTGTACGTGTGTGAATGTGAATACTGGTATTAGACGCGCGCACAATATTATCCAGTCTAACCTGTGAAAACCAAAAGTAATTAAGCCAAGTTTTACAGTGATATTAGCTGGGTTTAAACTGATCACGTCCTTCACGGAACACAAAGTGAAACATGTTTTGAGCAATATTTCTTGGCATTTTGTTTGCCACCCACGAAGTCAGACATTTCACTGGTAATTCCAATCCCCTTAACACTAGGAGAGCCACTTTGATCTAGTTTGGATACCTAGAAGGCAGTGGCTCGGAACGCAGTTGTGAATCAAATCTTTTGATACGAACTCGCTGGCTTTTTCGAGGAGGTTTATTTGAGGAATGATTGAGGAAATCTTGCAACTTACTTTAGTCTTACCCTTCCTCATTCTCGCTCTACCATCCTCAGGACGAGGCTACCTGCTGAGAACGTTTACTACTACCAGTCCGAGCAGCACCGTGGCCACTACATACTAAGCTTCGCCTTCTGCTTCGACACTGAACACGACGTCTACCAGTTCGCTCTCACTTTCCCTTACTCGTACGCCCGCCTGCAGGCCTTCCTCCAGCTGCAGGACAACGCCCGCCTTCCCTTCTACTGGAGACACACACTGGCCTACACTGTGGTATGTTACAGTTTCAGGAGTGGTGCCACGGACTCACTAGAGTCCGTGGCACACCTCTTTCCCCCCCCCTTCCTTTCGGAATAGTCTTTTATCCTAATTTCGACTTTCTAAACAAAATTAGACGTACCTTTAGCGAAGATTGTATGTCTCAGCAGATAACCTTGTCACCGACCATGACAATGTTATCCAACTTTCCCTGTGTTCTGTGGTATTCATTTAAAGTCATCGTTGTCGCCTTCATGATGTAAGTAGTTTATACGGAAGCTTCATCTGACGAGTGCACATACAACCGTGCAGTGTCTTTCGAAATTCTATGCACAATTTCCTTTAGAAGCGGTGTGAGCCATCGTCTTTATACTCCAAGCGCTTTCAGTAATATGCTGATAGTATCTTCAATCTTCTTGCTTCACTGGACAGTTTATAATGTTCCTCTTCGTCTGACAAGGCAAGATCTTCAATGTAATCTTAATCTAACTTTCAGGATTCCGACTTCCCACTCCCTCTTCTCTTTCTGCCTCTGATCAGTTTTATGCCCCGCCTCAAAAGTCAGATCACATCAGAGCCGTTATAGTTCTTTGCTTTATCCTGGTCTAGTAGTAGGCCAGTGGTCGCTGCTGCCACATGCCACCATACAGCTATCGGCTACTCGATCTTGAAGTGCTCTTAGCCATGACTTGTAGCTCCCCCGCCATAACGCCAGCACCAATGAACCAGTAATCTTATAAGAGAACAGTAATAAACTAACATGTCTACGCAACAATCCTAAGGCAATTCTTGATATAAGGTATCAGATCAATCCTCCCCTTCCTTGAATCGACCTTTATTGCCTCCCGTGTATGTCTCCCACGGATTCAACGACCCCCCTTTCCCCTCATGAATGTAATAACAGCCAACGGTCCCACAGCTGTACCCCTCCCTCTGTTACAGCACTCATTGTTTGCTTCTCCAGCCCTGTGCCACTGAATTGCGATGGATGTCTGCGGCCATCTCTTGCAATGGCTTCTGAACCAGTCTCTAATGCAGCGTCAGGTTTCTTGTTTGAAGATTAATTTCATTAACTGGGCGATCACTTCTCCGGCCAATACCCGCACATTGAGTTAGCTACATTCACTCTGCGAGGGAGAACCAACAAAACCAAACAAGCTTTCTTCTGCTGCCCCTTGTCTGTGTGCCAGGAAGATTTAAAGAACAAGAATCAGATGTGGTTGCTCGTGAGTGTGCTAAGAACAAGAGTCCATTTAGTCTGTCTCTGTCTGTCTCTCAGATTATGGTAAAACCTACATTCATCATCGTCACTTATGATAAGACATGTGCTGCACCTGGGAATGTATGAAAACGTTCACCAATAAGTGTTTTTTTTTTTAATTCAATACAAGCCACTGGTTTGCGAAATGTCTTCATAAATATACCCAGGTGTTGAACATGTCTTATCCACCAACTTGTCGTACCATATACCATTAACGTTATGATAGTTATCACCATTTCTGTGTACAGAGGTGAACTGATTGTGAATCAGATAGTTTGTATCAGATGATTCTGAATTTGTGTGGTAGAGGAAATACTCTGGCCTACAAGATTTGAGCTGTTGATAGAAGATAAGCGGGACTGTAAGAGGATGGGTAAGAAGCTTGCATAACTTCGAGAATTTTAATGCAATCTTGTGTAGGTCTAAAGATAAAATCAGTGAGTGGTTATGCAGATAGTTTTAGTGTTAGAGCCAAGGAATGCTTTGAGATTTCGTGAGTGGTGCTGTCTAGTAAACTCCATCCTGGGGCGAGTTCACTGGACACCTACCTCGGGTAGATATCTGAGACAGGTGTTGTGTACACAGATGAAGCGTCGGTGTGACATACTCACCATCACCAGCCTCCACAACTACCGGGGTCCCATCCAGGCCATGACGGAAGCCCGCGGAGCAGCCGTGGAGGCTGCCACCAAGGCTGCCGTCCTGCCCACCACCCACCACCGCCAACACGACGACGATGACGACGACGACGAAGACGAAAGTGACCACGTGCCCGCCTCTTTAGGTTAGTCTCCCATCACTTATTTTAATCACGTTATTTGTGACTTGAGAACAATATTAATTTGTATTATTACTGTATTATTCCCACGTTTCTCCTAGCCCTCTTCACTCTTCCTCCCTTTCCTCACATTCCTCATCCTCCAGCTTTTCTCAGCAGTTGAGCTTAAAATGAGCTGTGAAGATCTCTGCTGTCTGCCATTCTCTCTCTCTCTCTCTCTCTCTCTCTCTCTCTGGAAGGGTCTATTTAATATCCAATGAATTAGAGCTGTCTTTCTCTTTCTACGGTTTCCCTTAACCCCCTGTCCCCAGCTGCCGTAAAATCAGACGGGTTTAGGGCTTCTCCATGAATATAACAGTCTACCTTCCCTCGCCTTCTTCTTTCCCATCACCACCCCTTCAATCACCACACTTCCCCATCACTACCCCTTCAATCACCACACTTCCCCATCACTACCCCTTCAATCACCACACTTCCCCATCACTACCCCTTCAATCACCACACTTCCCCATCACTACTCCAATAACACCTCCCTCTCACCGCACCTCCCCTCCGTATCATCACAGGAAGTGCTGCTGTGTCCCGTCGAGTGGTTGTGGTGATGACCCGAGTACATGGGGGAGAGTCCCCCACCTCATTCATCGTCCAGGGTGAGTCTCCTACCTCATTCACGGTGAGTGACATGCCTCCGTCATGGTCTATGGAGAGTAATCTGCAGCATTCATGGTTCACGATGAGTGACACTTTGCCGTAAATTGGTAATTGATAATTAGAGAATGATTAACCTGTACATGATGGATGGTGGCGAGTGTGTCTTGGTAAGACAGGCAAGAACGGAGTGATGGTGAACGTGTGGAGGGAGTGATGGTGAACGTGTGGAGGGAGTGATGGTGAACGTGTGGGAAGGGACACTGCTGAAAAAAAGGCGACCCTGCCCAATGGAGGGATTTAGATGCACGTCTGTGTTATACATTAAACCCTTACGAGATTTGTACTCTTGTGATTGATTTTTCCTTTTTAGTCTTAAGACAGGCTTAAGTTTGCCCGATATGCTCTACATACTAAGGGGCATTCTGGATGCACACCTAAATGTCACCCATCTCTGTACAAACATTGTATCATGCTGAAATAAAGAATTCGAATTTGCCGTATCTTTCAGAAATTCATAAAAAAAGTTTCCAGATACTATCTCAACTTGTAAGTGACTGGAAACCACCAGATCACAAGTCTTGAGCTATACAACAGCTTCAGAGTTATCTGATTGGTTACTTGAGGATGACGATGAGTTCTATTGATCAGAAGCAATTTCAACAATTTTATTTGTCCAGATTAGGCTCTATAAACTTAATAGATGTAGGCCCATAACGGGGCTCTTACAGATCACTTATTAAACACCTGTTCCTGCCACCAGGAACAAGTGTCTGTAACTGTACGAGTAAGATCAATTTTACATTTACTACACAACACCACTATACACCATCACTACACACTAACATCAACACTATACACCAGCACTACACACTAACATCAACACTATACACCATCACTACACACTAACATCAACACTAATACACCACTACACACTAACATCAACATTATACACCAGCACTACACACTAGCACTATACACAATCACTACACACTAGCACTATACACAATCACTACACACTAGCACTATACACAATCACTACACACTAGCACTATACACAATCACTACACACTAGCACTATACACAATCACTACACACTAGCACTATACACAATCACTACACACTAGCACTATACACAATCACTACACACTAGCACCAACACATACACCGGTACTACACACTAGCACCAGCACTATACCCCGGCACAACACACTAGCACCAGCACTATAACCCCGGCACAACACACTAGTACCAACACTATACACCAACACTACACACCAACATCAGCATTACACACCAGCACTATTACACACCAGCACCATTACACACCAGCAGCACTACACAACAACAGGACTACTACACACCAGTACTACATACCAACAGCACTACACACCAACAGGACTACTACACACCAGCACAACTACACACCAGTACAACTACACACCAGTACTACATACCAACAGCACTACTACACACCAGCACTACACTCCAGCACCACACATCAGCACTACACTCCAGCACCCACACCAGCACTACACTCCAACACCACACACCAGCACTACACTCCAGCACCACACAGCACTACACTCCACCAGCACTACACTCCAGCACCACACTCCACTAGCACCACACAGCACTACACTCCACCAGTACGCACACCAGCACTACACTCCAGCACCACACAGCACTACACTCCAGTACCCACATCAGCACTACACTCCAGCACCACGCATCAGCACTACACTCCAGCACTACACTCCACTAGCACCACACTCCACCAGCACCACACATCAGCACTACACTCCAGCACTACACTCCACTAGCACCACACTCCACCAGCACCACAACATCAGCACTACACTCCAGCACTAAACTCCACCAGTACCCACACCAGCACTACACTCCAGCACCACACATCAGCACTACACTCCACGCATCAGCACTACACTCCTCTAGCACCACACTCCACTAGCACCACACTCCACCAGCACCACACATCAGCACTACACTCCAGCACTAAACTCCACCAGTACCCACACCAGCACTACACTCCAGCACCCACACCAGCACTACACTCCAGCACCACACATCAACACTACACTCCACACATCAGCACTACACTCCACTAGCACCACACTCCACCAGCACCACACATCAGCACTACACTCCAGCACTAAACTCCACCAGTACCCACACCAGCACTACACTCCAGCACCACACATCAGCACTACACTCCAGCACCACGCATCAGCACTACACTCCACTAGCACCACACATCAGCACTACACTCCTCCAGTACCCACACCAGCACTACACTCGACCAGCACTACACATCAGCACCCACACCAGCACCACACATCAGCACTACACTCCAGCACTACACTCCAGCACCCACACCAGCACTACACTCCAGCACCACACACCAGCACTACACTCCAGCACCACACACCAGCACCACACTCCAGCACCACACATCAGCACTAGACTCCAGCACTAAACTCCACCAGCACCACACAGCACTACACTCCAGCACCACACATCAGCACTACACTCCACGCATCAGCACTACACTCCTCTAGCACCACACTCCACTAGCACCACACTCCACCAGCACCACACATCAGCACTACACTCCAGCACTAAACTCCACCAGTACCCACACCAGCACTACACTCCAGCACCACACATCAGCACTACACTCCAGCACCACGCATCAGCACTACACTCCACTAGCACCACACATCAGCACTACACTCCTCCAGTACCCACACCAGCACTACACTCGACCAGCACTACACATCAGCACCCACACCAGCACCACACATCAGCACTACACTCCAGCACCCACACCAGCACTACACTCCAGCACCCACACCAGCACTACACTCCAGCACCACACACCAGCACTACACTCCAGCACCACACACCAGCACCACACTCCAGCACCACACATCAGCACTAGACTCCAGCACTAACACTCCACCAGCACCACACAGCACTACACTCCAGCACCACACATCAGCACTACACTCCACCAGTACCCACATCAGCACTACACTCCAGCACCACGCATCAGCACTACACTCCAGCACTACACTCCACTAGCACCACACTCCACCAGCACCACACAGCACTACACTCCAGCACTAAACTCCACCAGTACCCACACCAGCACTACACTCCAGCACTACACTCCAGCACCACGCATCAGCACTACAATCCAGCACTACACTCCACTAGCACCACACATCAGCACTACACTCCAGCACTAAACTCCACCAGTACCCACACCAGCGCTACACTCCAGCACCACACATCAGCACTACACTCCAGCACCACGCATCAGCACTACAATCCAGCACTACACTCCACTAGCACCACACATCAGCACTACACTCCAGTACCCACATCAGCACTACACTCCACTAGCACCACACTCCACCAGCACCACACAGCACTACACTCCAGCACTAAACTCCACCAGTACCCACACCAGCACTACACTCCAGCACTACACTCCAGCACCACGCATCAGCACTACAATCCAGCACTACACTCCACTAGCACCACACATCAGCGCTACACTCCAGCACTAAACTCCACCAGTACCCACACCAGCGCTACACTCCAGCACCACACATCAGCACTACACTCCAGCACCACGCATCAGCACTACAATCCAGCACTACACTCCACTAGCACCACACATCAGCACTACACTCCACCAGTACCCACATCAGCACTACACTCCACTAGCACCACACTCCAGCACCACACATCAGCACTACACTCCATTAGCACCACACATCAGCACTACACTCCAGCACCACGCATCAGCACTACACTCCAGCACTACACTCCACTAGCACCACACTCCAGCACTACACTCCAGCACTAAACTTCACCAGTACCCACACCAGCACTACACTCCAGCACCACACTCGACCAGCACCACACATCAGCACTACACTCCACTAGCACCACACTCCACCAGCACCACACATCAGCACTAAACTCCACCAGTACCCACACCACCACTACACTCCACCAGTACCCACATCAGCACTACACTCCAGCACTACACTCCACTAGCACCACACTCCTCCAGCACTACACTCCAGCACTACACTCCACTACACCACACTCCACCAGCGCCACACAGCACTACACTCCACTAGCACCACACTACACCAGCACTAAACTCCACCAGTACCCACACCAGCACTACACTCCAGCACCACGCATCAGCACTACACTCCAGCACTACACTCCACTAGCACCACACTCTACCAGCACTACACTCCACCAGTACCCACATCAGCACTACACTCCAGCACCACGCATCAGCACTACACTCCACTAGCACCACACTCCACCAGCACCACACTCCACCAGCACCACACATCAGCACTACACTCCATTAGCACCACACTCCAGCACCACACATCAGCACTACACTCCAGCACTAAACTCCACCAGTACCCACACCAGCACTACACTCCAGCACTAAACTCCACCAGTACCCACACCAGCACTACACTCCAGCACCACACATCAGCACTACACTCCACCAGTACCCACATCAGCACTACACTCCAGCACCACGCATCAGCACTACACTCCACCAGCACCACACTCCACTAGCACCACACATCAGCACTACACTCCAGCACTAAACTCCACCAGTACCCACACCAGCACTACACTCCAGCACCACACAGCACTACACTCCAGCACCACGCATCAGCACTACACTCCACTAGCACCACACTCCACCAGCACCACACTCCACCAGCACTACACTCCAGCACTAAACTCCACCAGTACCCACACCAGCACAACACATCACTACATTCCACCAGCACCGCACATCAGCACTACACTCCAGCACTATGATGCCAACTCCACTTAACAATTTATTCCGTCACATTTAAAACTCCACTGATACACATTTGGGCCGGAACATTCCATTAACCTTTTCCAATGACCATTTCATGACCCATGTCCTCCCCCCATGTCCCATGGGGTGCCTACGCCTGTGTCCCTTTTGACTAGATCAGATAACACGGCTAAACTTGTTTACTTCTTGAGCTAATGTGTGTGTGTACTCACCTAATTGTGATTGCAGGGGTCGATACTCAGCTCCTGGCCCCGCCTCTTCACTGAATGCTAGTAGGTCCTCTCCCTGCTCCATAAGCTTTATCATACCTCGTCTTAAAGCTGTGTATGGTTCCTGCCTCCACTACATCACTTGCTAGACTATTTCACTTCCTGACTACTCTGACTGAAGAAATACTTCCTAACATCCCTGTGACTCATCTGAGTCTTGAACTTCCTAGTGTGACCCCTTGTTTCTGTCCACCTTGTCTAGTCCACGCAGTATTTTGTATCTCGTTATCATGTCTCCTCTAACCCTCGTGTGTGTGTGTGTAGTTTTTATATGCAGAGTGTATGTGTGTGTATAGTTATATCAATATTTCTGGTTTAAAAGATGTAAATAAATTAAGCACTAAACCCAGAAGGGTCACACTGCTTAAGGAATAAGTATGTGTGAAATACACACACACACACACACACACACAAACAACCTTGGCATCAAGTAAATTTTATGTACAGTTTCGTTTTGTTCACTGATCATTGGTATATATTGGTATATGTCTCTATACATTTGTATTGGTGTATAGTGGGTATCATCGAGACTTACAAGCAGAATCCTTCCTATATCCTGCTCCTGATTCCTGCGTCCTTAATCCAGGATCCCACTTCCTGGCTTCTAATTCGTGTGCATCTCATCTGCACGTTGGTCACAGGGATGGTGGAGCTGCTGGTGGGGTCAAGTAGCGAGGCTCAGGTGCTAAGAGAACACGTTGTCTTCAAGATCATTCCGATGATGAATCCTGACGGTGTCTACCTCGGCAACTACAGGTAAGTTCACACCTCTCCATACCTGTTCTCCAAACGGCCGTTGTTACCTCTGTAATCCCGGGTTCTTAGCCACAAAGTCCAAATATACGGTGACAACTGCTCTTCGACCTTACCCAGAAGGTGAACTCCAAACTAAAGTTTAGCTAACTGGTTTCTCTGAATCCCTTCATAAGTGTTAACTTAATCACACTCCAGCAGCACGTCAAGTCATAAAAACTACTTGCTTCCACTCCTTTCTAACCCTCACATAAGCCCGTTAAATGTCAAGGCCTTTAGCACTCAAAATCTCTCTCAACTGTTGCCTATAACCCATCAAGGGACGACCCCTACCCGTCCTTCCCTCCATACAAGATTTCTACACCATCTTCGTCATCCTATTGTGCTCCATCCTCTTTAAATGTCCAAAACACCTCAACAACCCTTCCTCTGGCCTTTGGTAACCCCCACACCTACTTCTGATCTCCAAACTCAGAATTCTCTGCGTAATATTCACAGCACACATTTTCCTCAATCACGACATCTCCAGTGTCCACAGTCCCTTCCTAGCTACAACGTTTAAAACCTATATGCTTCACATAAATATAACAGCGTTGGTACCACTTCATTCTGGTACATTCCCGTTTTTTGCCTTCACGGATACAGTTCTTTGAGTGTACTAAAATTATATCAGGGCGGCATCATCAATTAAATTTTGATAAAAACTCACTACACCAGCTTTTATCAATAAAAAATTGTGCTGTAGGTATTTTGGTTGACCGTGAAATATATTTGGTTGGAAGAAACATCTATGAGAGCGTTGTACTGTTTCAGTGCTTCAACACCCATGATGAAACTGGCTGTGGAAACGTTTCGTATCTGATAATCGACTTCAATTTAATCTTAATCATCCATGTGAATTTTGACTCTGTTGGGCGGATAGCCTCCACTAATGGAACATTATTATTTCAAAAATTTCCTGGAAATGAAAAATTCGTCTGCGCCTGTGTCAATGAAGAGTTGGTGTGGGTGGTCAGTGCGGGTGGGCGTAAGATGCGCCTTCAAGGAACTTTCAAGTCTGTGCTCGGAGTCACCCTTCACTGTTTTCAAAGCTTTTCTCCGGAAATAAACAGAAGACCTGCGTTTAGATAACCTCAGTATCACTTGAAGACGTTTCATTGCTACTATATCAAGAAACAAAAGTGGGTCTCTTTCTGAGGTGATGCAGTAGTCGAATTCTGGAGGCAAAATTCGAAAATCGAAATAAACCAATATTCCGTTTTCAAAGGTCACGGCAACATTATTTGCATGTCCGACACTAACATTCCTTTTCTCATTCCAAAATTCTATTTTGCACTTCTTATACGTGGATATCTGGTCCAGAAGTCCCAGGGTCTTGGCTTATCTATTCAACATAAAGGTGGAGGTGCAGCCAGTGTCCACCACCATCCTGCACTTGATTCCGTTGATGGTAACGCTCAGGCAACCGTTGGCATCAAGACCAACCTTAGGTAAATTACGCAGTGAGACACGACTAGCCACCTACGGTACAGGACTTAGGAAAAGATTCAACGTGTCGTATTTCTGGGAGAGTCGGCGGCTACGACGATGGCTCGCCCCTTGCGACGACAAACTAGACGAAGAACGACGGGACAGAGAGCGTCTTGTTGGCTTGAGAACTTTCATTTTTTCAATTTGTGTAACCGGCGCGCCGGGAATTATTGAATTATTACTCCTGATAAAAGCTGTATAATTATGATTCAAAATCAATGATAGACTAGCTGTAACACTTCCCTTTTCATTCCAGTTTTACTGACAACGTTAAACACAATAGTTGATCTGGGTGCTAAAATATAGTGATCATGATGTCAACAAGGTAGTGATAGAAGATAACAGTGTAATGAGGACAACAGTGCAGTGATAGTGAAAACAACAGTGTAGCAGCTACTCTACTGTAGCTACACTGTAGCTATTGAAGACCAAGTGCAGTGATAGTGTAGTTAGTGAACACTGCGGTGCTACTGAAGGTAATAGTGTAGTTACTGTAGGCAACGTAGTAAGTGAGAACAAAAGTGCAGTGATATGTAGTTAGTGATGGCAACAGTGCAGTGATAGTGAAAGTAGTGTGGTGATAGTGAAGACAATAGTGTAGTGATAGTGAAGATAACAGTGCAGTGATAGTGAATACAATAGTGTAAAGACAATGCAGTGATAGTGAAGGCAATAGTGTAGGTAATGCAATGATAGTGTAGGTAGTGAAGTGCAGTAGTATAGGTAATGATAGTGAAGGCAAGAGTAGGTAGTGAAGTGATAGTTAAAGCAATAGTGTAGGTAGTGCAGTGATAGTGAAGGCAGTAGTGTAGGTAGTGCAGTGATAGTGAAGGTGATAGTGAAGGCAATAGTGTAGGTAGTGCAGTGATAGTGAAGGCAACAGTAGTGATAGTGTTGAGCTACTCTCCTTCCTTCCTTCCAAGACTAAATATATGAACTCGACTTTAATCCGGAACTTAATTTATGAAATAATATGTGGCGAGTTGAACGATTCATTATTGTAAATGACATTATCTTGTGTACCAAGTCCTGATGGACCAGTGATACCTGGTCTACCAGGCCCAGACTGATGGACCTGTGATACCTGGTCTACCAGGCCCAGACTGATGGACCTGTGATACCTGGTCTACCAGGCCCAGACTGATGGACCTGTGATACCTGGTCTACCAGGCCCAGACTGATGGACCTGTGATACCTGGTCTACCAGGCCCAGACTGATGGACCTGTGATACCTGGTCTACCAGGCCCAGACTGATGGACCTGTGATACCTGGTCTACCAGGCCCAGACTGATGGACCTGTGATACCTGGTCTACCAGGCCCAGACTGATGGACCTGTGATACCTGGTCTACCAGGCCCAGACTGATGGACCTGTGATACCTGGTCTACCAGGCCCAGACTGATGGACCTGTGATACCTGGTCTACCAGGCCCAGACTGATGGACCTGTGATACCTGGTCTACCAGGCCCAGACTGATGGACCTGTGATACCTGGTCTACCAGGCCCAGACTGATGGACCTGTGATACCTGGTCTACCAGGCCCAGACTGATGGACCTGTGATACCTGGTCTACCAGGCCCAGACTGATGGACCTGTGATACCTGGTCTACCAGGCCCAGACTGATGGACCTGTGATACCTGGTCTACCAGGCCCAGACTGATGGACCTGTGATACCTGGTCTACCAGGCCCAGACTGATGGACCTGTGATACCTGGTCTACCAGGCCCAGACTGATGGACCTGTGATACCTGGTCTACCAGGCCCAGACTGATGGACCTGTGATACCTGGTCTACCAGGCCCAGACTGATGGACCTGTGTTCAACTCTGATCTTATGTTTACCAGGTCAACATTGATGGGGTTCGACCTGAACCGCTCGTGGAACGATGCGAGTGTATGGGGACACCCGACCGTGCATGCAGCCAGGAGTATGTTGCTGGAGCTCGACCAGGCAGAGGTAGGCTCCTTCACCTCGAGCGTCCTAGAGGTAGGCTCCTTCACCTCCAGCGTCCTAGAGGTAGGCTCCTTCACCTCCAGCGCCCTAGAGGTAGGCTCCTTCGCCTCCAGCGCCCTAGAGGTAGGCTCCTTCGCCTCCAGCGCCCTAGAGGTAGGCTCCTTAGCCTCCAGCGCCCTAGAGGTAGGCTGCTTCGCCTCCAGCGCCCTAGAGCTAGGCTCCTTAGCCTCCAGCGCCCTAGAGCTAGGCTCCCTGACCTCCAGCGCCCTAGAAGTAGGCTCCTTGACCTCCAGCGCCCTAGAGGTAGGCTCCTTGACCTCCAGCGCCCTAGAGGTAGGCTCCTTCGCCTCCAGCGCCCTAGAGCTAGGCTCCTTGACCTCCAGCGCCCTAGAGCTAGGCTCCTTGACCTCCAGCGCCCTAGAGCTAGGCTCCCTCGCCTCCAGCGTCCTAGAGGTAGGCTCCTTGACCTCCAGCGTCCAAGAGGTAGGCCCCTTCACTTTCAGCGCCCTAGAGGTAGGCTCCTTGACCTCCAGCGTCCTAGAGGTAGGCTCCTTCGCCTCCAGCGTCCTAGAGGTAGGCTCCTTCGCCTCCAGCGCCCTAGAGGTAGGCTCCTTCGCCTCCAGCGCCCTAGAGGTAGGCTCCTTCGCCTCCAGCGCCCTAGAGGTAGGCTCCTTCGCCTCCAGCGTCCTAGAGGTAGGCTCCTTCGCCTCCAGCGTCCTAGAGGTAGGCTCCTTCGCCTCCAGCGTCCTAGAGGTAGGCTCCTTCGCCTCCAGCGTCCTAGAGGTAGGCTCCTTCGCCTCCAGCGTCCTAGAGGTAGGCTCCTTCGCCTCCAGCGCCCTAGAGGTAGGCTCCTTCGCCTCCAGCGTCCTAGAGGTAGGCTTCTTCGCCTCCAGCGTCCTAGAGGTAGGCTCCTTCGCCTCCAGCGTCCTAGAGGTAGGCTCCTTCGCCTCCAGCGCCCTAGAGGTAGGCTCCCTCGCCTCCAGCGTCCTAGAGGTAGGCTCCTTCGCCTCCAGCGTCCTAGAGGTAGGCTCCTTCGCCTCCAGCGCCCTAGAGGTAGGCTCCTTCGCCTCCAGCGTCCTAGAGGTAGGCTCCTTGACCTCCAGCGCCCTAGAGGTAGGCTCCTTCGCCTCCAGCGTCCTAGAGGTAGGCTCCTTGACCTCCAGCGCCCTAGAGGTAGGCTCCTTGACCTCCAGCGCCCTAGAGGTAGGCTCCTTCGCCTCCAGCGTCCTAGAGGTATGCTCCTTCGCCTCCAGCGTCCTAGAGGTAGGCTCCTTGACCTCCAGCGCCCTAGAGGTAGGCTCCTTGACCTCCAGCGCCCTAGAGGTAGGCTCCTTCGCCTCCAGCGTCCTAGAGGTAGGCTCCTTCGCCTCCAGCGTCCTAGAGGTATGCTCCTTCGCCTCCAGCGTCCTAGAGGTAGGCTCCTTGACCTCCAGCGCCCTAGAGGTAGGCTCCTTGACCTCCAGCGCCCTAGAGGTAGGCTCCTTCGCCTCCAGCGTCCTAGAGGTAGGCTCCTTCGCCTCCAGCGTCCTAGAGGTAGGCTCCTTCGCCTCCAGCGTCCTAGAGGTAGGCTCCTTCGCCTCCAGCGTCCTAGAGGTAGGCTCCTTCGCCTCCAGCGTCCTAGAGGTAGGCTCCTTCGCCTCCAGCGTCCTAGAGGTAGGCTCCTTCGCCTCCAGCGTCCTAGAGGTAGGCTCCTTCGCCTCCAGCGTCCTAGAGGTAGGCTCCTTCGCCTCCAGCGTCCTAGAGGTAGGCTCCTTCGCCTCCAGCGTCCTAGAGGTAGGCTCCACCTTCGTAGACAATGAAGGTGAGCTCGTTCACATCTCTAAAGTGTTTCTTTTTAAGTGGTAGCACAGGTAAGTTGACAGTAACATTTAGTGTTCTCTGTCTCTCTCTCTGTCTCTCTCTCTGTCTCTCTCACTCACTCACTCATCACTCACTCACTCACTCACTCGCACGCACGCACGCACGCTCGCTCGCGCGCGAAAAAATGAAGTGTGTGTGTTAAACACTGTTTCCTCCTGTTACATAAGAAAGAATGAACATTGCAGCAGATCTACTGACCCATGCGGAGCAGGTCTATGTCCTCCCCCCCCCCGGATTAGCCCAGTGACCCACCCAGTTTGGTCTCACCGCCACTCAAGGATGGAGCACGACACCAGACCCAGCAGCACAAGCTAGTCAGGTCCAACTCACACCCACCCACACCCACTCATGTATTTATCTAACCTATTTTTAAAACTACACAACGTTTTAGCCTCAATAACTGTACTCGGGAGTTTGTTCCACTCATTCACAACTGTATTACCAAACCAGTGCTTTCCTATATCCTTCCTGAATCTGAATTTTTCCAACTTGAAACCATTGCTGCGAGTCCTGTCTTGGCTGGAAATTTTCAGCACGCTATTTACACCCCCTTTTTTATTCCTGTTTTCCATTTATACACCTCGATCATATCCCTCCTAATTCTACGCCTTTCGAGAGAGTGCAGATTCAGGGCCCTCAGTCTATCCTCATAGAGAAGATTTCTGATACATGGGATCATCTTTGTCATCCTCCTCTGTACATTTTCCAGAGCATGTATATCCATTCTGTAATACGGTGACCAGAACTGAGCAGCAGTCTAAATGAGGCCTAACCAAGGATATATAGAGTTGAAGAACAACCTGAGGACTTCTATTATTTATACTTCTAGATATGAAGCCAAGAATTCTGTTAGCTTTATTGAGAACACTAATGCACTGTTGTCTTGGTTTTAGATTACTGCTAACCAGAACTCCTAAATCCTTTTCGCAATCAGTAATATTAAGATCTACATTATTTAGTTTATATGTGGCATGGTTACTTTCCTGTCCAACATTTAGAACTTTGCCTTTGTCTATATTAAATTGCATCTGCCACTTCTCCGACCACTGCATCAGTCTATTCAAATCATCCTGGAGTGCTCTAGTGTCCTCGTTAGAATGAATTGGACGGCCTATTTAGTGTGTGTTTACATACTCCCGTTAGTGTTTGTTTACATACACTCTAGTTTTGCTTCTGTTATTGTTCATTTGTAAATGCTGGTGATACCGGCAACCTATAGAAAATGTCACTTGTGTCCAGCTCAAGACATTAATTAAATGAAACGTTTCGCCCCCAGAGTGGTGTAGAGCCCATATCAGGTGTTTCCCGGGATGGAAGACGGAAATCAGTTGTACCAGCAAACAGATCTCAGTTACCTAATGTACAAAATTCATCCTCTGGTGGAATATGACAGTGGAATATTGCTAGTTATTGTTTCCACAGTGTAGCTAGCACAGAGAGAACAGGAGAACAGTACTCCAGACTCAAACCATACCCCCGGCCTGGATTGAACCCGCGGTCATAGTCTCAAAACTCCAGACCGTCGCGTTAGCCACTAGACCAGCTAGCCACAATAAGATTCATCCAACTAGGTATATTTCTACACCATAGGAAAGTTAGCACAGGCACCTCTGTGACCACAAATGCAAGTTTTTACAGACGAATCTCCAGCTAGCGTGGCCGTGACGAACTCTAGCTCAAGTCTCTTCACTGCCGTCAACATGACTCAAGAAATCGTAATGACACGATTGCAAACAAACCATACCCCCGGCCGGGATTGAACCCGCGGGTTCAATCCCGGCCGGGGGTATGGTTTGTTTGCAATCGTGTCATTACGATTTCTTGAGTCATGTACTCCAGACTCAACACTACTCGTGTACCTCTGAAGATAGAGAGAGAGAGAGAGGAACCTTATGACAACGTTTCGGTCCGTCCTGGACCACTGTACGGTTACAACTGGCCTGACGGTGGTCCAGGAGAGAGCGAAACGTCCTCATAAGGTTCCTCTTTTAGCTAAGTGCGGGTATTTTGTGCAATGTTCCAGCCAAGGTATTGTGATTTATTCCTCGTGAACCTAAGATTAAATAAAATACTGTGGGCGGGCGGGCGGGGCGATGGAGGGCGGCTGGGTGGCGGGCGGCGGGGGCCAGGGAAGCCAGGAACAAAAACGAACAATTATCTCTCTCTTGTGAGAAAGTTCGCCATCTGGGAATGAGTGATGAAAAGTGGATGTTCCCGGGTGAGGGGGACGAGACGCGCCTCCAGCAATCTCACCACCACTTCGACCCTTGCCTTGCTCTAACACAAGGTCCAATATCACCTCTACCATGTGGCATGTGGCTTGTGTCTGTGATGCCTGCTACTAGCACCTAACAAAGTAGGGTCTCCCAGATGATCAGGGTCGCGACACCCCCTCCCTTCCCCTCCCTCGAGATTGCGATACCCCCTACCAGCTTCCTTAGGGGGTTAACACCCCTTCCCATCGCCCTTCCGCTTTTCAGTTTCAATATACCCCCCACCCCCACCCGGCTGCAGGTGTCACCACACACTTTCATTCCCCCCTCGTAGCTGAAAGGGTCACTATACCCCCTACTACTTCTTCGTCAGGGGGACAACACCCCTTATGGCCCCCCCACCCCATCTCCCCTTTTCTGTAGGTAGTACACTGGTAGACAGCAACCATTCTCAGTGTGAAACATAAGACTGTTCAACGTTTTGTACTCTGGCAGGATTGATGGCCTTTTCTGTCATATACAACTGCAGGTAAATCTTTCAAACTACTACTTACATAAGGTATGTGAAATTTGTTAAATGCTTTGCACTCTGGCAGTATTACTGGTCATTTTTTTTTTCTGGACTACAGCACACACACACGGTACTAGGTGTGAATCGACCCGTGCAACCACAACTAGGTGAGTACACACACACACACACACACACACACACACACACTCACTCACTCTACCTCTTCCATCAGTTTAAAATCTGATACAGTTCAGTAATATCCCCCTCGACTCAACTTGTCATTACTGTCACCTGGGTTCAGAAAGCTGCATCTCATCCCTTACATCCCAGTTCTCAATGAACGGAACTGTAAATTCCTTGCAGCACTTGTCTGGTCAGTAATTTGCACTTATCACCCGAGACATCTATTCACTGCCCACTGATCATCGTGGCAAAATGCTACACAAGACAGACACGCGTACCACAGTTAGGTATCTTTATTCCGAAACCTTTCACCTACCCAGTAGGCTTCTTCAGTCGAATACAGAGGCAGCAGAAGCAGAGATGTAAAGACGATGTAATAAGTCCATCACCCTTGAAGACGTAGTTTTGAGGTGGTCAGTCCTTTAGCTGAGGGACTGACCACCTCAAAACTACGTCTTCAAGGGGGATGGACTGATCACATCGTCTTTACAGCTCTGCTGCCTCGTCCGTACTTGACTGAAGAAGCCTACTGTGTAGGCGAAACTGTTGTACATGTGTCATACTTATTAATTTGTCGGTATTGTATACCATTATCATTCAAAATGCTAGATATTATATCTCGAACCATTCTTGCGTGTCTAGCAAGGTGTCTAGGTGTCTAGCAAGCATATAACATATAGCCTTAGTACCTGCTGCTAAGTTGACCGGGTAGAGGCATTCTCTGTTCCCTTATCGGAAGTTCAAGGTTCGAGCCTTCAGCGTTCATTACCTAAGAAAATTTCATTACCTTCCCAGAGACAATGAGAGGGATTCCCGACTCGTTTATGGGGCCACGGGAATGCATTTTGCACCCCTGCGAAATGGATTCAGTCTTGCCCACATGGGCTGAGCATGGGAGGTAAAGGAATAGAAATCACCTTCTGCCTTCCTCGTCCTCGTGTTTTTAAGGTTGTCTGACTGGAAATCAACGTCGAATGTCTGTGTTGAGGTGACAGTATTGATTGTTAACGTTGAAGTGTGACATAGATGGAACTGTCTAACTGCATTTGTTCTGCGAATATAGTGGTGATGCTTGGTGAACTAAACCGTGTTCTACAGGGTATAGCACGGTGTTTTGAGGGAGCTTCCTTGAGAGAGAGAGAGAGAGAGAGAGAGAGAGAGAGAGAGAGAGAGAGAGAGGTGTCCTGGGGAGGAAGGGATGACAGGTGGGGGGGGCGGCAACAGTGTTGTGATTGGGTCTCCTCTGGAAGTCTAATTCCTGCCAAATGAGACGTTTTATTGTCTCTCCTTCACGCTGCATTAACTTCTCCAGTTGCTGCTGCAATTCCTATTGATGGTGCTGCTCCTGATGGCGGTGCTATTCCTGTTGGAGACGGAGCTACTGTTCCTGGTGATGGTTGTTGGTGTTTCTGATGCTGCTTTACCGAGGCATCGCTGATTAATAAAGATTACGAACTGTTTCTGTGTCTTCATACCTCTCACAGCAGCTGAGATGTCAAGGGAGATGCAACACGACGTACAAAGTACTCAGAACCACCGGCAGGGTGAACGAGGATAGAATAATTGACAAAAGAAGGACCAGAACAAGAAAACATAGAAGAACTGATTAAGTCCCTGGTGGGCGAAACGTCTTCTCAATAAAATGCCATCAACCACATATTGTTTCATTCACTGAACACACACCACACACGTCTCCCTTTCTGAGTTTTGCTCGAATTGGAACCCTCACCCGATCAGAGAATTCCACTCCATTTAGTAGACATAACCCGGTTTGGTCTTGGTGAACCACTGGAAGAGAATTCTGTCTCTGGAAAGAGTAACTCGAGAGCTCTCCATTTCGTGGCTAGTTTGAAGAGTGAGAAGAGGAAACAGGTGTAAATATAAGGGCTGCGAGTACGTGGATGGCGTTAGATGAAATGGTGGTGGGTGCAAACACCTTAGGTGGGATTCTCAGTAGATATAGAGCCCGGAAAATGTTACAGGAACTTGAGGTGTACCCTATTGCGATCAGGAGCTGCAATTGTACCCATGTTGGACCAGGAATTGGTACTGTACCTTCATAGGTACAGCAACGTGGATACACACCAGAAGCTGGTGCTGTACCCTCACAGGTACATGATGCAGCACCGTGAGCACACACACTGGGGCTGTGTATTAAACTAACAGGAAGCCAGAGTTACCAAACAGTTTAGTGTGCTCTGTGAGACTGGCCCAAATATTTACCTAGACCAGACTGCACCCCCACCTGGGGCGTTATCTACCTGTGGTAGCAGTAGCTGGTGGCGGTGGAGGTGGTGGTAGTAGTGTATGGTGGTAGCTGTGACATCACTTTTTTAAGTATTAATGTTTTGTTCCACAGAATAAGTCGCATGTCTGTGGGCTACAGTACGTATTGTTGCATGTAAACAATTTTCCTGCCACCTCAGGCTGTATACCCTGTTTATCAGTTTCCCGTGGATAAGGAAGATGTAATAATGTTAGAATTACCGGCAATATGTTTAAGACCTAAAGAACTCTGATAGACTGAGATCATGTAAGACATGGATGAAGCATGTATGTGTCTACATATTTCTTCCCGAATGGAGGTTCTGCATCTTAATTATCAAATGCGACATTTTATTGTGGTAACATTCCTGGGTTATCCTGGTTTACCAACCCTCCCAGGTTATTCTGGAGTATTCCTGGAGAGGGTTTCGGGGAATCAACGCCCCTGCGGCCCGGTCTGTGACCAGACCTCGTCGTGGATCAGAGCCTGATCAACCCTCCTAGGTTAATCTGAGTCAAGCTTTCTTTGCAGACAGTCTTGTAGCTCTTCGGCAGTTCAACTGCCATCACTGTTGTATTGAATACCCGGGAGAGTGGTTTGTTCAGAGTGGTAACGCCTAATACTCGAGGCAGTCTTGCGAAGTTCCACTACATTAGGTGCGTCATCAGACGAAACAGTGGCAGAGGAGTCACCTTGCTCCATCACTGTAATATCTGTCAGCAGCCTGTGTGAGTGGGTTGGCCTTCATCTTTGTTTCTGGCACTGACAGAAAACATTGTGTTGATTCGCAGATCACTCGCAATTTCCACAGCAGCAGCAGCACTGTGGGAGGTGGACGGGGTGTAGAGCAGCAGAATTAGCAAATAGCAGCAGCATCCTACAACATCGGAAGCTAACAGTTAGCAGCAGCAGCATTAGCAAACAATAACAACAACCTTTAGCACGAGCAGCTAGCAAACAGCAGCAGCAGCAGCACGACACCCTTCCCCCCCCCCCAGATAGGTGGTGGTGGTGTTGTAGGGAGGGAGGGGGAAACGTGTTGCTGCTAATATTTGCCAGTGCAGCGTTATGTCTGCGCCGCCTCCACTCTGCCATTAGTTGAGACAAAAGGTTCAATACCTATGCAAATCTGAATGAAAACTTATCATATATTCTGGGTCGTTGGGCGGCCGTCCTGCGCTGCTATCCTCGTTTTCTGTGGATGGCAACCGTTTTCTGTGGCGGACAGCCGTTTTTCTGTGGCAGACAGCCGTTTTCTTTTGCGGATAGCTGTTGTTTGTGGATGACAGCCGTTTTCTGTGGCAGACAGCCGTAGCCGTTTTATCATGTCTGCCCCGTGAAGAACCGTCTTGTAACCTAATTGGAATCTCCCAAGAAAAAGTGATTACTCGGGGCAATTTCATCCTCCCTTCCTGCTGACACCAGCCTGCAGCCTGTCCTTCACGGTGGAGCCTGAAGTCTGTCCTTCACGGTGTAGCCTGTCTTGATACAGTTCTTAACTTTCGTTGAGCGTCCAACGAATTGAACCATGTGCGTTTGACGCTTGTGTTTACCTTCCTCCCTATTTAACTACTGGCTGCTAAATACACCCAAGTTACTCTGACCTCTGGACAAACAAGGTTGTTAGGACTGACGAGAGGGAGAGAAAGCTGGGGGGACCACGCAACTTCACGATCCTTGTCGGCGAGGAAGGTGATGCGGAATTCTGGTCGTGATACCTGCTGGAATGGGCGAAAGCTTTTTCGTGTAAAACTTAGCTTTCCATAGTTTTTTTTTTTCAAGGAGCTGGTCCAAGATTTGTTGCTTGTCAACGGTAGGAAGCCGAGCAGCAGTGGCCCGTTACCTCAGACGTTGAAAGTTCCCGCTGTTTTAACTATTGTTGTTCGGTAGATGGCGAAAGTCGACGGGTGGTGAAGGAAAGACGTAGAAATAAACCTTTAATTTATTACGTTTCGCTCGCTGTGGGGCTTTTTCTTTCCTTAAACATTGGGTACAGCAACAGTGTGCTGCTACCGTACCATACTCTGAGTTACATAGTAGGAACGGAGATATATATCCCCCGTCATATTCCATCACACAGGATAGGATATTTATATCAAGTGATAACACGTGTCAGCCTGAGATGAGGATGCCACCAAGTATATCACTACATGTTCAGTAGCTACAGCAGCTTCCTAGGAAGTCTAGAGTTAAAATTTCTTCACCCATTGAGGGAGAGTTTTATGGATTTATTTTATGTTATAGAGCTATCTTCAGGTGTAAAAAGTCTTCGTAAGAGCAAGGTGGAGTTACTGCACTCATGGCTCAATTTTCATTGTTTTCCTCCTCATCTACCCCTCCCCTGCCCCACACTGGACTCTTACCTACATGACTGTTAAGCTTGGTCAAGCAACATAACCGTCCAGTAAACAGATGTGGGGTTCACCTAGCTGCTAGACCTGGTACACACGCTGAGCTATTCCCCCAGAGTTAAGTCGACAGCCATTACCCTCACCTGCTTCATTTTCTTACCTTTCTCCTTCATTTTAGTGAACAATACAGGCTGGCAGAGAGAGAAACTGAACACTGGAGAGTAATTCTCGATACCATAAACAACTAATAAGCCAGAAATTAGAAATAAAACCTGGACACTTCAAACCGTCCTGAATTACAGTTGTTTTCACTCGAGACGTGATAGTCCAGGCTCTAAATACCTCTCAGGGTTTAGTGCAGTCTCTCTCCCAGTGATGTGACCTTTTCCTCTCAACCCAGTGATATGACCTTTTCCTCTCCCTCAGTGGTGTGACCTGGACCTGGTGTTGGACCTGCACGCCCACTCCTCCCTGCTTGGCACTTTTATCTACGGTAACTCCTACGACGACGTCTACAGGTGGGTTTAGGTCTGTGTGTATGTGTGGAGGGGGTTGCAGGGAGGGGATGCTACAAGTATGGAGCTACGTAAGTGATGTCCCATGTCATATTTTTATGTAAAATAATAAATCGTATCAATACTTTGCAAAATTGATTGCACCTATACGCGCGCGAGCACACCTCCTGAAAGTGATTCCAGTTATCAGCCTTCTCTATTAATACAAAAAAATACTTCTTTTAATCTCTTTTACACCGCTTCTTTCCCAACATAACATTGCTTCCCGATGCTGATGCCAAAATATTTTCACCTTGTGTGCTTTTGTAACTAATGAACTCTTAAGATGGTTATCTCATCGCATTTGCTGTCTTGCAGAAGTGGTAAATTAAGTGTCTTCTTTAGAGCCTTCCTTCATAACTTACATTTATGAATTCTGGAATGTGCTTTGTTTTGGTTCTGTAAACACATTTTTCTTTTATGTCTTTTAAATATGGGCGGCAGGTAGCCCACACTGTAATGTGGCTGCATCGAGTATGACGCTGCATACAGCAGCTTCATACTCCAACTTGGGTTTACCTTATGCTGTAGTAATTCTACATGGCCGAGAGTAACTTTACGTGGTAAAGGTAACTAAGTGCCGAGAGTAACTTTACGTGGTAAAGGTAACTAAGTGATAGATAGCAACTTTAGGTGGTAGACAACTATTTTACGTGATGCGGAGAGCATCTTTATGTGATAGTAAGTTGAGACAATAAAGTGTTGTGTGTGCCTGTGTCCACAGACACGAACGCCACATAGTGTTCCCCAAGATGCTGAGTCACTGCTGTGAGGACTACTGCCACTACAATACTATATACAACAAGGACCCCTCAAAGGCTCACTCCGCCCGCAGGTACTATGTTGTGTTCTGGTGTATTGTATGGTGATGTCTGCTACTGTGTTTAGTATAGTTTGTGCTTGTGGTTTGGTATAGTGCTGTGGTGGCGTTATGTAGCCTGGTGGAGTGTTGTGCTGTAATGGTGCACTGTGTGGTTTGGTGTGGTGATGCTCTGTTATTGGTGGTGTGCTATATAAAGATGTGTAACACGGTGTAGATTATGATATACTGGTGAACAAAGTGATAAGGAAATATGATTCAAGATAACGTAATTATCACAAACAGTACTACATTATCACTTCAAGATAACCCGGGAGATAATTACCACTACAATATGATAATACAGGAGATAACCACTGCAACAGACTCATTGCAGCATAACCACTATAACATAAATGCAAAATTTTACCGCTGGAAAATACACATTGTAATATACACACTGAAGTGTCAGTATTTTATACATACCAAAATAAACGCTTCAACATACTCACGTTCCAAGTAAACACTACATGCTGTGTCCTCAGTTTCACAAACATACCTACACACCACGCATGATGGTGCTTTTATCCTCATTATATTATGTAGATTTCCTGCTCACATTTAGGGAATGTGAAATAAAATCTATCATCTGTTTAAATGCAGCTGTTGACCTGGAAGCTGGCTAGATTCAGCTGGTTTGTAATTACTTATTATTCTCTATTCGTAGTTAAAGGAGAAGAGCTGTGCTCGTAGTGTCTTGAACATCAGAAAGAAGGAACACTGCAACAGGCCTACTGACCCATGCGAAGCAGGTCCATGCCACCCCCCGTTTGTGGTTACAGCAGGATAGTACATCCTCGTGGTGTCTTGTCTTCAGTGTTCAGTCTGTCAAATTATTTGTTAAAATTTCCAGTGATTGGTTCGAGCATTTATTACCTTCCCTTGTATTCCATTCCACTGCGGAAAGTAGCGTTTCTGTCACGCGACTGCGGACGGAGGATCAAGCCTCCACTATTTGCCCGAATTACGGTATGGAGAGAGGGGGGGGGGGAGTGGTACATTTATACCTCTTCCTGCACATTACTCACAGTACATTAACTAGAGTATTCTCCACAGATGGTTGTGCAGTAACCTCAAGGACTCTGCCAACGTGTACTCCATCCACACCTCCATCTACGGCTACAGGAACCAGCGCGGCCACATCGTTCCCTATACCGAGGACCTTTGTATCCTTTACTGTAACACAAAGATTCTTTATAACTTAAGAATTTGTAAAAACGCGATTACGAACTAATCACAGAACGGATGGGACTCGAACTCATGGTAGGCGAGTTCTAATGCTCGCAGGCCAGCATAGGCCAGTGAATAAAACATTGGTCTGTGAGTTTTAGGACTCGCTTGCAATGGGTTCGATCCCCATCCTTTATTTGACAAATATTCTTCTTGGTTGTGTAACAGGAAGAGTGGCTGTATAGACTATCACTGAGGGGACTGAGGGTCATAAGCTCTCAATATCCTGCATCTCTCTCATAATTGCATCTACTTTCCATCACTGCTGTGGGATGGTCCCAGAAATTCTAACCTGTCCCTCTCAACTTATCCATTTCACCTATCTTGTGTATACGTACTTCTAGTGTTTTCCCCGAACCTGTTAGTCCTGTCAGTAATAATTATTAGCATGTACACGTGCGTGCACAAGCAGGCGCATATATACACGTATGTAGGGGAGGAGATTTGACAAGAAGAGGCAGCTGGTGTTTTCCTTAACTCCGGGGCAGATCTGAGGACGGGTCGCAGTATCGTGAAGGCTGTACTGGACTACTACCAGTTCCTTGGTCTTATTCCCTACACCTTTCCCTCAGCACAACCCCTACATGACTTGCCCAGGGGCAAGGGGCCCGCCAGCCCCCCGCTACACACTCGCCACTCGCGCTCACATCTGTCTCTTCAGCAGGTATGTATACTCCCCACAACACTACGTTCCAGGAACTGTGTATACACAACCCTCCAGCAGATATGTTTACACTCACAACACCGACTTGCATGAGCTATGTACATATCTGAACTACACTTTTCTTGCATAAATACAGTGGAACCCTGGACGAGTACAGGACAGTGAACCAAAACATTGTAATGCTGTTAACAGTATGGTAGCACCCAGTACCAATTTAATGTAGAGGTAGCCTAAATGTAGGTAAATATAAACTAATAAAATCTTCGTATAGGCCCATGTCTTTTGTGCAAAATGCTGCTGCCTAGTGTGTGAGCGCTGCCTTCAGGATGTGATGGTGTGAATGCGTATTGACAACCACTCAGAGCATAGACTTGTTTAGACAGACTACGTAAGTAGGAAATACCATCGTTGACTAATGCTCTACAGCGCTAGAGAACGCAGCCTCGCCTGAGAATGTATTTGTATTTCCCGCGGCCCACAACCGACACTGGCAGCAATGTTTACGTGTAAAGCATCTGATGAATATTAAGTAGAGGGAGCAACAGCTGCAAGAAAATGGGAGATAAAATATAGGACGCATTTTGCGCTGAAACAGACAAGTGTTGTGTGAGACCGCGGAGGAGAGGGAGGGGGAACTGAGAGTTGTGGGATATAATGAGTACCGATACGGAAAGGTCATTCAAAACTATATATTAAAAAAAAAATCATTCACTACATACAACACCCCGATTAGCTCTTAATGGATAAAAGCAATCTTATCAAAACGCTTTCAGGTGAAGTACACTAAAAGATTCTCCTAAATGTTCACCGGTCTCTAAAGACTCATTGTTAAACCTAGTACCAAATTTTAAATGCCGAAGCCTTTGAAAAAAAAAAGTGCATCATAGTGAGCAGCATGCCCCACAATGCATGAAAGAATCCATGGGTGATGGGTGTCCTATCCTCATTTGGCAGTACAACTTCCTGCTAGTCTACAGTGCTCATTATAACTATGCGAGGGATTGTAATAATTATAGAAACTGAATATTAGAAGCTAAATATTATATTATCTTGTGACTAGATGTAAGAGTCGTTTTAGCAATTATTTGTTTACATTGCAGGCGCGAACCCCACATTGCTCCTCACGGAGCAAGTGGTCGCCGGGAGGCAAGGAACGAGGTTCGCGAGCACTCACGAAGCTTCCAGATGTTAAAGGTCCCGGGGGCAGTGAAGCGGCAGCTACAGACACAGCAGCCAGCGGCAGCACTGACGACGCCTCCTCCGTTAGTAGCGACAGTGATGGCCTCAGCGACACCAGCGGCCTCATGGTTAGGATCAAGCAAAAGGCGGCCTCAGCAGACGAGGAGGATGTGGGCTACACGAGACGCTACGGCCACGAGCGAAATGATAGGAACGTCCGTCTACCAGCGGCTCGGCATACCGATAACTCCAGAGCACTGGAAGGACGGGATAGACGGCGAACGAGCCGTAAAACACGGCAACCCAGGACGACATACATGACGCTTTTTCCAGAACAGCAGATGAATCACCCATCACGCTCCGACGATGACACCCGCAGTCTGCCAGACCTGCCTTCCCTGACTGCTTCGTTACCGACTCTACGAACCACTCCTGATCGCCGACATCGCCCTCCATTCCGCTTGGTGGGGCGCCAGGCTCGACCCACCACCCTGGTGTGGCAGGACCTCCAGCAGCCACTACAGCATAGAGACATTAAACTATCCTACAGGTACTATGACTTCAAGCGCCTAACACGCCCTCGTAAGAAACGCCACAAGAAGAAACCGAAGAGTCGTTCCCCGAGCAGAACTCGAAGCCAGCGCCGGAATAAGACAACTAACGCCAAAGACCAAAACATTACTCATCACAATCCTACCCACCACAATTCTTCCCATAACAACCCCACCCACCACAGTTCCTCCCATCACAATCCCACCCACCACAGTTCCTCCCATCACAATCCCACCCACCACAATTCTACCCACCACAACTCCCCAGAGAGAGGCCGGCGGAGACGGATAGTAGTGGGCGGAGGTTTCAATGTGACGCGACTAGCGACACCGCCCCGCGAAGAGACAGGAACCCGGCCCCCTGCGCAGCGAGGACTCCGGATGATTGACGTTAATCAACTAACAATCGGCGGCTACCAGGAGAATGTGTCGACCCCGCGGTGGCAGGCCAGCCCCCGCCGACATACCCACCACCTCCCCACCACACCCCCACTCCTGAGGAGGTTCCTCGACCCCCATGCCTCCCTCTTCTGAGAAGGAAGGGGCGCTCCCCGTTCCCCTCGCATTTCAGAGAGCAATCAACAAGCCCAGAGAGGTTTAGCACTTCATAAAACACTACACTTTTCACTCTTGACTCTCCTCACCGCCGCTCGCCTCTGCAGGAATAACTGCCGCTCATCATCAACGTCTCAGGGACCTTGAGTTACACAACTTTGTAAATAATGCGCTTCCGCATTGCTCCAGTCATTAGCTTGACCAAGAATTTCACAATTCGTCAATTTATACTGCCATTGTTACTGTAAACAGAAAAATGACTCCTCACCCAAACCCTCAGAGATAATCTGTATCTATACGCTGATTTTACTTACCTATTTCAAGTATTAAAATTCTCATATACAGAATATATATACGTTGAAAACTCGCTTCAATTCGTATTTTAGGAATTAAAGATCCTTGACTGGTGGTGTGAAGATGACGCGCACTGATGACTCTCGTGTAGTCTATATATTGATGATTAAGACATGTGCAACAATTGGGTATCATTATTGTTGAAACATTTCGCCAACACAGTAGGCTTCTTCAGTCAAATACAGAGAATCATCAACTTGTCGGTATTTTATACCATTATCAATATATTAATAAAATCACTCGGCTAGTCAACCCTGAAGTTTACTAGAAGTTATCAGAAGTCACCAGTCTTAAAGAATCCATTTTTTTTTTCAAAATTATATGAATATTGTATTAAATCTTTTTTATTCATAATATTTTTATTAGCCCATAAAAAGCGTGACATCAGTGTGCTCTTTTCAGGATCACAGACGTGTCGGGACATCTCTGAGATGTGTTGAACTCGAATACGAAGCTGAGGGTACTTAAGAGAGAAAAAAAAACGTGTTTTGTGTATAGTAAGCACATACTTGTATCTTTGCAACGATATCAATACCCGGGTGATATCTTAATATGCAACATAACCGCAGTGAAAAGTAGAATTATTCCAAGAGCCTTCGTTATTTCTCGCATTATTTAGGAAGAGCAAAAGTAATAAAGCTACAGAAATGTTATACAGAGATGGACATGTCACTTACCTGACATGTCACCCTTTTACCTGACATGTTACTTATTTACCTGATATTTGACATGATTATAAAAATTCCAGAACAATCAAAATGAATCTCACAAGCTGAGTGACTAACAACCCACTGACTGTACCGTACATGCGGGGCCACATCTCTGTTATATAACACTACTTTAGCTTCATATATTTTGCTGTTCCTTAATTATGTGAGAAATCACGAAAGCACTGAAAATAGTTCTACTTTTCACTATGGTATAGTATAATATATATATATATATATATATATATATATATATATATATATATATATATATATATATTATATATATATATTATATATATATATATTGGCGTGTAGCTCATGCTACACGCCAAGGTATTGTCCAGTGTGGGTAGATTGGTAAAGCACTGCGTACCTTGTCCTAAGGTTCGTAGGTTCGAGTCTCCTTCAGCCAGAGATCAGTGTTTGTGTATATTTCGCATGCTCTCGCGAATTCCTTGCATATATATATATATATATATATATATATATATATATATATATATATATATATATATATATATATATATATGATGAGGGTATCAAATGATTTAAAGAAAAATTGGATATCAAATTGGGGAGGAGGAGTATGGAAGAAGTGAATGTTTTCAGATACTTGGGAGTTGACGTGTCGGCGGATGGATTTATGAAGGATGAGGTTAATCATAGAATTGATGAGGGAAAAAAGGTGAGTGGTGCGTTGAGGTATATGTGGAGTCAAAAAACGTTATCTATGGAGGCAAAGAAGGGAATGTATGAAAGTATAGTAGTACCAACACTCTTATATGGGTGTGAAGCTTGGGTGGTAAAGGCAGCAGCGAGGAGACGGTTGGAGGCAGTGGAGATGTCCTGTCTAAGGGCAATGTGTGGTGTAAATATTATGCAGAAAATTCGGAGTGTGGAAATTAGGAGAAGGTGTGGAGTTAATAAAAGTATTAGAGGACTGAAGAGGGGTTGTTGAGGTGGTTTGGTCATTTAGAGAGAATGGGTCAAAGTAAAATGACATGGAAAGCATATAAATCTATAGGGGAAGGAAGGAGGGGTAGGAGGGGTCCTCGAGAGGGTTGGAGAGAGGGGGTAAAGGAGGTTTTGTGGGCGAGGGGCTTGGACTTCCAGCAAGCGTGCGTGAGCGTGTTAGATAGGAGTGAATGGAGACGAATGATACTTGGGACCTGACGATCTGTTGGAGTGTGAGCAGGGTAATATTTAGTAAAGGGATTCAGGGAAACCGGTTATTTTTATATAGTCGGACTCGAGTCCTGGAAATGGGAAGTACAATGCCTGCACTTTAAAGGAGGGGTTTGGGATATTGGCAGTTTGGAGGGATATGTTGTGTATCTTTATACGTATATGCTTCTAAACTGTTGTATTCTGAGCACCTCTGCAAAAATAGTGATAATGTGTGAGTGTGGTGAAAGTGTTGAATGATGAAAGCATTTTCTTTTTGGGGATTTTCTTTCTTTTTTGGGTCACCCTGCCTCGGTGCGAGACGGCCGACTTGGAAATATAATAATAATAATAATAATAATAATAATAATAATATAATAAATAATATATATATATATATATATATATATATATAATATATATATATATATATATATATATATATATATTAGTATTTAGATAAAGGTAGGGAAGTTTTTATTGCATTTATGGATTTAGAAAAGGCATATGATAGTGGATAAGGGAGCAATGTGGCAGATGTTGCAAGTATAGGAAATAGGTGGTAAGTTACTAAATGCCGTAAAGTTTTTATGAGGATAGCGAGGCTCAGGTTAGGATGTGTAGAAGAGAGGGAGAATACTTCCCGGTAAAAGTAGGTCTTAGACAGGGATGTGTAATGTCACTATAGTTGTTTAATATATTTATAGATGGGGTTGTAAAAGAAGTAAATGCTAGGGTGTTCGGGAGAGGGGTGGGATTAAATTGACACAGTTGCTTTTTGCTGATGATACTGTGCTTATGGGAGATTCTAAAGAAAAATTGCAAAGGTTAGTGGACGAGTTTGGGAGTGTGTGTAAAGGTAGCAAGTTGAAAGTGAACATGGAAAAGAGTAAGGTGATGAGGGTATCAAATGATTTAGATAAAGAAAAATTTGATATCAAATTGGGAAGGAGGAGTATGGAAGAAGTGAATGTTTTCAGATACTTGGAAGTTGACGTGTCGGCAGATGGATTTACGAAGGATGAGGTTAATCATAGAATTGATGAGGGAAAAAAAGGCGAGTGGTGCGTTGAGGTATATGTGGAGACAAAAATCGTTATCTATAGAGGCAAAGAAGGGAATGTATGAAAGTACAGTAGTACCAACACTCTTATATGGGTGTGAAGCTTGGGTTGTAAATGCTGCAGCGAGGAGGCGGTTGGAGGCAGTGGAGATGTCCTGTCTAAGGGCAATGTGTGGTGTAAATATTATGCAGAAAATTCGGAGTGTGGAAATTAGGAGAAGGTGTGGAGTTAATAAAAGTATTAGAGGACTGAAGAGGGGTTGTTGAGGTGGTTTGGTCATTTAGAGAGAATGGATCAAAGTAGAATGACATGGAGAGCGTATAAATCTGTAGGCTAAGGAAGGCGGGGTAGGGGTCGTCCTCGAAAAGGTTGGAAGGGGTAAGGGAGGTTTTGTGGGCGAGAGGCTTGGAATTGCAGGAGGCGTGCGTGAGCGTGTTCGATAGGAGTGAATGGAGATGAATGGTATTTGGGACTTTAGGAGCTGTTGGAGTGTGAGCAGGCTAATATTTAGTGAAGGGATTCAGGGAAACCGATTATTTTTATATAGCCGGACTCGAGTCCTGGAAATGGTAAGTACAATGCCTGCACTCGACAGGAGGGGTTCGGGATATTAGCAGTTTGGAGGGATATGTTGTGTATCTTTATACGTATATGCTTCTAAACTGTTGTATTCTGAGCACCTCTGCAAAAACAGTGATTATGTGTGAGTCACCCTGCCTCGGTGGGAGACGGCCGACTTGTTATATATATATATATATAATATATATATATATATATATATATATATATATATATATATAAATATATATATAAATATAAATATATATATAAATATAAATATAAATATAAAATATAAATATATATATATATATATATATATATATATATATATATATATATATATAATATATATATATATATATATATATATATAACACTGATCTCTGGCTGAAGGAGACTCGAACCTACGAACCTTAGAACAAGGTACGCAGTGCTATACCAAACTCACCACACTGGACAATACCTTGGAGTCCAGCTTGCGCTAGACTTTGATCCAAGGCAGCCAGCTTTCAGGGAGAAGGCTTACAGCTTTTCATCTCATCCCCTGCATGCATCAGCCTTACTAGAGATTTTAACAATGCAAGAAATTCGCGAAAGCAGGCGAAATATACACAATGACTTTGGATCAAAGTCACTGCGTACCTTGTTCTAAGGTTCGTAAGTTCAAGTCTCCTTCAGCCAGAGATCAGTATTTGTGTATATTTCGCCTGCTCTCGCGAATTCCTTGCAGTGTTAATATCTCTAGTAAGGCTGATGCATGCAGGGGATGAGATGAAAAAGCTGTAAGCCTTCTCCCTGAAAGCTGGCTGCCTTGGATCAAAGTCTAGCGCAAGCTGGACTCCAAGGTATTGGTCCAGTGTGGATAGATTGGTAAAGCACTGCGTACCTTGTTCCAAGGTTCGTAGGTTCGAGTCTCCTTCAGCCAGAGATCAGTGTTTGTGTATATTTCGCCTGCTCTCGCGAATTCCTTGCACATATATATATATATATATATATATATATATATATTATATATATATATATATATATATTTATATATATATATATATATATATATTTGTGTGTGTGTGTTTATATAAATAAACATATGTATATATAACGATGTCTTCATCATTAGATCAAATATAGCATTAGGTGTGCCTTGTCTTCATGTACATATACTGTATGAACAGTGTTGCTGTAAGTCTACAGTGTGAAGAGCATTGACTATAGCGAATAGTGTGATAAAGCTTAATATAAACACACGGGTCGTGAATATTAATATAAACACAGGAGCCATGAATGTTAGACTTAACGCCCAAACTTGCTGGGAGAAACTTGACGTTTCTCATCCGTGTTCAGTGGAGTGCAGAATTGCAAACTTTACGAGACTCAGTAATGTTATCAGTATGTCAGATACGAGTTTTCCTGCCAGCGTTCAGACTTTCACATAACACGTGTTGGCTCATTAATCTCTTATATTGGCAAACTAGTTGCCTATTCCTTTACGTGCTACTTACATGACAATTACACCACTTGTCAATATCTTTTATGTCACCTACCACCATACCACCTGCCAGCGACCCTTCAGTGTCTCCTACTACATTTCAGCTTGTTAAAGAGGTTATCCCACACTATAGCTGACACTTCAGTAATTAACACGAAAGTGGAACCCCCATCAAGGTGTCATAGGGCGGTAAACAGTATATCACTTTTACAAACTGCGACACTCCTTCGGGAGCCACTACCGGGTCACCACATGGAGAAGACAGGGCCAGGACCCGTCCTGGCAAACCTACCTGAGCCTGTACCCAGCAAGGTAAACTAGGGAATGGTCTATG